ATTTTTAAAAATCATATCAAATGGTTTTATGATAGCAACTCGTAATCATCCACTTCTTCAACGTGTTATTTTAAATCTTGAATTATATAATAGAAATTTTCTTTTACCACATGCAACTATTGTTATATCAGCTGGACCTATGTGTATTTCAATACAAATACAATTAAATCGTTCATTATGGAATTCAATATTAGTTCTTGATGGAAAAGAAAATATGATTGGAGGAAAAACTAATACACCTATATTTAGACATTTAGGAAGTGGATCTTGGCATAAAGCTGATGATATGATTTTTAAAAATATTCCAATGAATATTCAACGTCAAAGTCAAACATTTTCAATTTCAGTTATTGTTTTTATTATTTTTATTTTTCTCTTTTTTATTGGAAGAAACAAAAATTCTATTAAGGTAAATTTTATTATTTATTTTATTTACAAACAACTTTTTATTTTTACACGATCAAATTTATCAAATAGAATTTTTTAACTATTTAAATACTTTTTTTTTTAAAAAGAAATAGAAAAAAAAAAACAAAATAATAAATCCATTAGAATTTTAAAGATTTATATCAATCGAAATTATGAAATAAAACGAGAATTATCCATTTAAAAACATTCGTTTACTAATCAACAAATTTCTTCGAACTGATTAATTCACTTTCAATTTGAAATTAATCATCATTATTCAGATAAAAAATTATATAAAATCACCTTTGAATATCTCAAATAGAGTTATTATTATGTCCTTAATTTACTACTAAGAATATATTAGAATTATATAAAATAATATTTACTTTAAACTTTGTATAAAATATTATTTTAACGATAATAGTTTAACATCTTTTAATTAACTTCTATAATAAAAATATTTGTTAATATATATCATATAAATAATATTTTATTATTTATAGTTATAGAAATATTATAGTTAGATATTATAGAAATATTGATAACATATTAATATATTCATAATAAAATATTATTCTTATAAGATTTGTCTCTATCTATTCAATTTAAAGTTAAAATTCATAAATCATTTTTTTCTAAAGATCATTATTTATAGATAAATAAACAAAAAAACAAAAATTATTATCAGTCTATTATAATCTCATTTGAATATATATAACCAATATTTATATTATATTTAATATAAATAGTTTTTCTTTCATTTTTTAATTCTATTATAATTGAAGAGTTTTTTTCCTTTCTAAGAATATCAATTTTTAAGTTTTAAACAAATAATATCATTTCTCCGTATTTCATCTTTGATTGATAATAAAAGACAATTTTATCTTTTTATTAATCAATATTGTTTTCCTATCAAATTTTAAATTCAATAAGAAATATTCTTAGAAACAAAACAAAAAAAATCAAAAATTTGTTGATTATATTACAATAACATTATCGATCAGATATTGTTTATCAATCAATAATTTAAATCTTTTTTGACAAAATAATTTATTTCTTACAGTGAGGGCCCAAAAAAGCATGCACTTTTTTATTTTTATACATAAACGAATAATAAGGATGTTCTAAAAATTTTCTCTTATATCTAATTTTGTAGAGTTTTTTTCGCTGATTATTTTTATAAAAGAAACTTTTTGAT